AAGAATTATTCTCTACTTATGTATTTTATTTTGAGCATATATACTACTAATTCATTTGAGAAACACCTCATAAAAGGATTATAGGTTAAATTAGGTTTATAATTCACTCTTAAAATAATATCAAAAGAATAATTTTAAACAAAGTCGTAATCACCTAATGAGTATAAAACTAGCAATATAATATCCCACATGTGATAATGTTATGCATTTGACTCAACCATTGTCATATCGTTATATATATGCCTCTAAAAAGAATTCAATATATCAATGGTAAATAAAGTTGTCAAAATTAGTCACCTAACTCGATCCAACCCAATCCACCACAGGTTGATCAATAGGTAGGTCAACTCAATTCAACTTACCTTCCAATAAGCTTACAAAAAATGAACCAAACTTAACCTATCATGAGTTGGTGAATTAAACAGACTGACTCACTTAATTTTAGAAAATTAATAATAAAAATAAATGTCCAACAAGTCATAGTCATATTTTTTCTTTCTATTCTAATGTGCAATCAAAAGGCCCAAAACTATTTAAAATGTTTTTAGGTCACTAATTGATTTATGCGAAGGCTCATTCATATCAAAACAATGATTATATGTATTTGATTTGCTGCCAAACTTGTTGTTGTGGGAGTTTTTGATTTTTTTGTTTTTGAGTGAGACATGAGTGGATTGGTTGGGACTAGGGATGGCAACGGGGCGGGGCGGGTACGGGTTTCATGATACCCGTCCCCGTCCCCGCAAGTAAAACTCATCCCCATCCCCGTCCCCATACCCGTCGGGTATGGATTTTCATCCCCATCCCCATCCCCGTCGGGTATCGGGTATACCCGTACCCGTACCCGTACCCGTCAATTTTTTTATTTTTTATTTTCTTTTTAAAAATAATATTTTTAAATTATTATTTTTAATTATATTATAATTATAATTAGGTTATTTTTTATCTCACATTATAATAAATAATCATACAATTAATTTTTTTTAATATAATTAAATTAAAAGTGAATATTAAATTAAAAATGAGAACGGGGACGGGTACGGGTACGGGTATTTACTTCCCCGCCCCGTACCCGTACCCGTACCCGGTCAAACCGGGTATTCCCCGTCAAAGTCGGGACGGGTTCGGGGATTACCCACGGGTACGGGTATATTTGCCATCCCTAGTTGGGACCTCTTTTTTTTATTGGACTCCTGAATCAATTCAACTCACCACAGATTCAACTTGGATGAGTCAAATTCCTAATAAATTGGATTTAACTTTACCAATACTAAAATTTACAAGTTTATTTTAATATAATCCGACTCGAATTCATGGTTGGTGGCTGCTTAAGAAATAATAAAACTTGTGATTCAAATGAAGAGAGAAATGGAAATCAAAATCCAACCACATGATCTTTAATTGATCACTCTCTTAATTGAAATGGTGATTCCTCATATTGCATGTCACTTAAATGGAATGAATATGACAATGCTATCCCTCTTGTCCTAATGGGTCCTACACTTCACGTGCCCTTACTCATAGGGGACGCATTCTTATTTCGCGATATTTTGCAGCCCTTGCAATTAAACCACTAACCAGTGTTTTAAAACCTGGACTGACCCGGCCGG